GCGGGTTCGCTGTCCCCGGGGCCCGCGGGGGAGGGGCTCTGGGCCCGTCAGGAGAGAAGGAAAACCCGCGTGTCGCGCTGTGATCGAGTGGCTCCGGCCGGGACGCTGCCCCGCGCCCGCAGCGCCGAGACCCGGCCGCGCCTTGCGCCCCGCCGTGAGGGGGGATCGCGGGCAGAGCCGGGCAGCGTCACTGCGATGGAGCCCGCGGTAGATGAGAGAGAGTGTGTGTGGTGTCTTTTCTTTTCTCACCAACCCGCTCAAACAAACGGGTTTCCTTGTTTTTATATATATATATTTTTTATTTTTATTTTTATTTTTTTCCCCAAGAGACCCGGCCGCGCCTTGCGCCCCGCCGTGAGGGGGGATCGCGGGCAGAGCCGGGCAGCGTCACTGCGATGGAGCCCGCGGTAGATGAGAGAGAGTGTGTGTGGTGTCTTTTCTTTTCTCACCAACCCGCTCAAACAAACGGGTTTCCTTGTTTTTATATATATATATTTTTTATTTTTATTTTTATTTTTTTCCCCAACTCCCCCCTGTTGCGGAGCGGCGATGCCGGCGCGGGGCAGCGTGATGGTGCAAAACCGAAAACCCAGACCCACGGAAACACGGCTGTCGCTTCCCGAAGTGGGGGAGAAGGGAGTGACCCCTGCCCCCTTTCTCCACAGCATCGTCGGCATCGCTTTTATTTTTTTGCAATACAAAGGGCCTTCACAAAAAGCGGAAATGCTTAAAATAGCATTTGACCTGTCCTGTTTGCTTTGAGGAGTACTTTTTTTTTTGCTTTCTGCTGGGATGGTACTTGCACAAGAAACGTGCTCCTATTAGCATGGCAGGCTGTGATTTAGAAATCTAGAAAAAACCTTCCAGATCCAAAGAGTCTAAATAATATTGGCTAAAAAAAAAAAAAAGAATTTAGTTTTGTTTCAAAATCTCATTTGGCAAATAGGTTTAACTGATTATGCATTCCTAAGCTGGGATGAAGCGTGATAGAAGATGATGAAAACATGATTATCAGTGGCAGACAGGGTTGTTCGGGTAGATGCAATATCTTTTATTAGACCAACTAAAGAGTTGGAAAAATGTTCTTTGTAGGCTTTTGGGCACAAACGCCCTTCTTCAGGCACGGGGAGAGTCTGCTGGTGTTTGTGCGATCTTTTGGGGGGGGGGGGGGATAGAAGCTAAAGCCAATACGACAATGCAGGTCTGTGAAAATGCAGATGTGCGGCAGGGAAGAGCAGAGGGGATGGGGGTAAATGGGTGCTGAGTGGGGAGGGGACAGGACATGAGGGGCATGTTAACCAGTAATAAAATGTAGCTGGTAAAATGTAGAGCGGTTACCTGGGGTTGATGGCAAGCAGATTATAATGTGCCAGGACCCCTGAAACACACAAGATCATCATCAGCATGAACAGTTACAGGTTCAGCTTTCGCTGACAATAGAAAGCAGATCCCTTAGATGACTCGGAGCGCGAGGCCTTCATGTTCTGTAAGTCAGCAGAACAGTTCTATACTTGACATATTGCTTAATAGGAAATTGCTGTGAAAGGATTGTGAATTTGGAGAAGTATCAGATTAAGTATTCAGCCTGTCGCATTTGGAACTGTTTGCAAATAATGCAGAACAGTGGGCAGGGGCAGAAAATGGAAATAGGGAATTCCTTGGAGTGGCAAGAATGCAGTATCACTTCTGCATCATGTTGCAGTTAGAAAGTTTGGCAACATTTCTGTTTCAGGGAGGATGGTGAGGGGGCTGGACAGTTCCATTAACAACAGTGATGTGCTGATTTATTTCTTGGCGTTTTTTTAGTAAATACTAACTAAAATCAAGGAAAAACTGGTATGTTTTAATATACATTTAAAAATGTTCTGTAAGCTTTTTAAGTTGTGAAGTATTTGCACTTGCTGGGTTTTTTTGAGGTATGGTGAGAGAGTAAAGGTAGCCTAGTAGTGGAAACAGATTAAGAGAAAAATCTCTTTGTAAAAAAGCGATAGGATACAAAATATGAAGGAACCAGCCAAGCTTTTGAGCAAGAATCCAGAACCGGATCTGATGCCTGGGGTTGGATGGGGGAAGCACTCATGCCCTGGCACTTTTACAGTACTGGAGTAATTGCTGCTCGCTGCTTGTGAGGATATTTCTGTGAGGCTGCCACAAAATCCTTGTATTCTTACTTCCATTCTTTCTGTCTCTCTGTGCCATGCTGTGTGTGTGGGCACACGCGCTCTGGGAAGATGTAATTGTATTTTTTGGTTCAGTTCAGTCTTGGGCTCTTTCTGTGCTGGCTCTGGTTCCCTTGAGACATAAACTTGCAGTTCAGTTTTCATTTTTCTCTCCAGCTTGAGGCAGACAAATACAGCTTTAAAATACAGTGTAGCTGTTAGTTTTTAGAGGAAACCCAGTCTTTTGAGTACATTGCTTCTACATCTCTTTAAGATTGCTTTAAAGCATATCTGCACAAATGGAAGATAAGAGAAAAATTAAATTTACCTAATTCTTGCTTTATTTTCTGAGTCAGTCTGTTGGGATCCATAGGTAAGAGAGAAACGAATCCAACCTTTTCAAACAATTACCCAATCTTACTTCGAAAGAGAGACTGTGAAGATATGACAGTTGTCTTAATTGGGTATGAAATGACAATTTTTCTTGCTGCCTAGAAAAGGGGCCTGTTTGGGCCACTTAACCCAAGCTAAAATGATATTCTTGTTTTGGAGAGTACTTTTCCATCTTTGGTCAGGGTAAATTAAATTCTCTAACAAACCACTTAGTTACTCAAAGTTACACAAGTGTTTCCTTTCAACATTTTTTTTTTTTAATGCAGAAACATTGACATAATGCAGACCAGCTTCTACCCACATATTATTACCTAAAAGCAGACTCTCTTACCTTCATAAAAAATTCCTCATGCTTGCAACATAAAACCATCTGCAGTACATCAGTCCGTTACTTAGTTTCACTCAAATTCTGATGATTTAATGAAAGTAGTAAGACTTTCCAAGTAAAAGTATTTTTTTAACATTTATCTTTCTGAAGTAGCAGTCAGTTGTGCAATGGAGTATGACTCCATTCATAAGTAAGCCAGCAGCAATCCACACTCGATGCATGCTTGACTAGAAAGATATGGATCATTCTTTATATCCCTGTGATAGCTTAGATCTGCTGACATGCTTCTGTTTGTGGTATCTGTTTTTGCACTCTTGAGGATTTCAGTAGGGCTCTTGGACAAAGGTTTTCCCAACTGGAGGAGGATCTAGCATGGATTGTTGAGTGGTACGAGATGTTTTTATTTCTGCACTGTTGTGTGATGTGCTTTACAGATTAAAGATAACAAAATATTCATTTTAGGAAATTGAGTCCATGCACACTATTTGTGTACAGATAACGTACAATAAAGATTAGCTAGAGTGGTTCAGTAAGAGCGAGGAGAACAGAGAATACACAACATCAGTACCCAAGGTACTCTGTTTAAGGGTGGTTAGCAAATTACAGATTTCAGAGGAGAATACATTTTTCTCAGATATTTGATAAAGTTTCGTGTCTGAAATCCAGAAGTGCTGAACAAGACAGCAGATACATGCAGGAATAACTTAAATTGTTCTATAATGTTTAAGATTAGTCTCTTTAAATTCAGTTAATGTCTCTAAGACTGTAGTAATTAACTTTGTGTGTGACATAGAATGATGTCATCTTAGAAACTGCATGATTAAAAATTGTTCTCTTTATTTGTGTCAAACATTAAATTATTTTAGTAGGTCATCTTCCTACTTGAAATTGGGGGATAGACAACATTACATTTTCTTTGGAATTGGTACATCATTTCAGTCTTTCCTTTTACATTTTACTTCCCCAGTGACAGCAAACTGATGCCCATTTCAAATAGGTTTTTCCACTGTTGTCTGCCTAGACAAACAGACTTCTCAGACATTTCTCAATTAGCTTGTCTTGCATGTTGCTAAAGGAGCTAGGAGACATCTTTCATGAAGCAGGCTTTGTTATTTTGCAAATGAGCAGTTCGCTATGTGAGTTCTCTTACAAAACATCTATCTGTATACAAAGACTATCTCTTAATTAAGATTCCATTTTTGGATCAAGTCAGAACTGTAATTCTGATTTAATAATTTTAAGTAAAATACTCATGACAAAGGAAATAATTAGGTAGATTGACTATACCTGCTGATACAAACTGCGGAATTATAGAGTGGTGGCTAGCTGTCATATTTTAACTTACAGCCTTGAATGTACCACACACAATTATGCTAAAAAGGGTTGCATTGCACTACCAGTCATTCTGAAACTTGGGGAATATCAGAGTTAAGGTTACACATTCAACCTTGAAAGTAACCTTTCAGTATTTTATTTTTTGTAACTGAGATCTTGTTTTTCTTTTAAAAATGTATATATCAATAAAGGATTATATACATGTCCCCTCCCCTCTCTCCCAACACACACAATTTCATTATTTTGTGAGCAGCTCATGTAATGGGGTTATGTATTCAGATCCCGTGATCAAATGACCCAGTGATATGTTATCAAAGGAAAGCATTTTGGGTTCTATTGTTCAGGAAAGGGGTGAGGATTGTGAGTCATTTGTCCTAATAGTCTTTCAACTTCCCTTTGTCTCATTAACTTTTAAACTATTCCAAAATAAAACCAAACTGCATTTTGATTTTAGAGGACTTTCATTCTGATTTAAGATTTCTACAAAAGAGTCATTATAGAAAGCAAGCTGAGAGCAAGGGACGTGAACACGTCACTCACTGTTTCACAAGTGTCATGAAGCTCTTTGGCTATTAAGAGCCCTGATTCTGCTGCATGTGTAGATATGTCTCTTTGCCATATGAATGTAAATCTAAACCCTGAGGAAAGATTATTGAAAAAAAATTTTAACCTTAAAGGGGCAGTGGGTGCTATGACAGTAGTCAAGATAAATGCTGAGTGACTGAGATCAGTTGGGGAATGGTTAGAACATGAATTAACCCCAGGTGCTCATATGTACAAAAATCAAACTAAGTGACTATAAAACCGGGGGGGGGGGGGTCTTTATTTTGCTCAAATGATCCTAAATTTGGATCACTAATTCTGCCTTGCACGCTTATGCAGCACAGTGTGGTACTTGGACCATTTCAAGATGGTCCAAGTAACTGCAGATTTTAGAGCATCGAGAAAAGTCTACCTTTAAACAGAAAGCAGTTCTCTGCCGTGTGGCGATG